GACGCGCGCATTCCTTTTATATTAGAACCGGGTGTCAGTTTGTGTACATAAAATAAAATAACCTTACCACTATGTCATAGAAGCAATACCATTTTCACTCAAATTGTACTGTTCCGATTGCAATTCCTTTCATATTTCTTAAACAGTAAATGTTTTAGCAAATGTTGTAATGGTCCTATAACACACATTGCAATTGATGAAAAATTTAATAAATCCTTGAAGCGTACATTTTAATAGAGTAGATATGCTTTATTTGGTTATTGCGAACAGTTTTTGAACAGCAAATTAAGTGTTGACAACAGTGACATTGATGACGTCACAATAGAGATTGATGGCGTTACAATAGCATATGATGTTATAGTCTCATAACAACATTTGCCTTCGCAATGCATTACAATTGCACAGTTATCTTCTCTTGTGAGCAGGTATTGATTATTACGTCATTGGTTTGTGTGAGAAAATTGCGTCGTTTTCTCAAAAATTGATGACGTTACCCTCACAAACCAATGATGTAACAATCAATAACTGCTCACAAGAGAAGATAACTCTGCAATACGCAAAGACGGAATAAAAGGATGTAGAGCAAATGTAAGTATTGGCATTTTTTTAACTTACAAAAATAAAAAGGATCAAGTAAGAATTTATGTGATATACCAATTTAATTTGCATAACTTATGTAAATAGCTTTAGAACGGTTAATGTTCAACGTTGTTCAGACGGTAACATGGTTGTATGACTAAGCTCCCATTCGATCTATGTCCTTGTACATATTTCCGTCTCATCGTTAAGTATTGCAATTTTATGATAAACAAAGTATCAAGTGGTCATATTTACATTCAAAACACGTCTATGTAGGAAATCGAAACTGGACAAATATATCATATTGAAGCTCTCAGTGGTGGACGGATCACATGGTTAGGTAGGCTGCGGTTCGGTATTACTGGGTACACATATCTTTATAGGGCCATAGTTGGCGAGGCCTATCACACAATATGAATAACAAGATAATGCATCATTACTACTTTGTCCTGTCAATTAAGGTACTGATAAACATATGAGTATCTATTTTTAAGATAGTCGGATGCGGATGCATATTTTTTATAATTAAAATTATGTATTACTTTAATCACAAATAATTGGTATGTATCAAGGAGAAAAAGACACATCCTGCCTGAAGGTTTCCCGTCGACAATAACAGGTCAGGGTAAGGTACAAGCTCCTATAAAGCAGAGCTATACATATATTATAGATACTGCCATCTATAGTATATCGACAAAATCATTTACTCCGCCATTTTCTACTAACACTGTGCTGAAAGGAAATTATGAAATAAAGAAATATTCTACAAATGTGTGGATGGTGGAATCATATAATAGCATACATGCGAAAACAGTAGATCGTTAGTAACCTATACGATTTCTTGATTTGACGGAAGACGTCATTTGTAATACATCTAGTGAAGAAAATGCTTCCACATCCGGAACTCCCGCTTTCTCCTCTTGTTTTGTGCGAATTCATGGTATCTCCGTCATATCTTATCAGTTTCGGTTGTTGTTGGTTTTCGTCATGGGTTTCTAAATCTGTCTAAATCCTGTTATCAAGTGGGTTTTGTGTAAAGGCCTCTCCCACCGTCTATCCCCATGGACTATAGCAATACGTACAAACACTTTTTAAAATCAGTTTCGCCGTCTTAAATAAATAGACTAATGATTATATTCAAGTTTTTTCTTCATTATCAACTAACCAACAAACATCAACTGAATCTAAGTCAGTTGGCAATCGTTGTCTTCTATATGGATTTTTACAGAAGTGGCGACAGGTTAGTTGCTCGTCTCATTTCTCAACCCAGTTAATGGTTATTTTTGAAACAGTAACAGGAACGCCAGCAGTGAAAGCTTTAGTTAATTTGCAGTGACGGACAGCATCGTCAAAACCAAGTAGACGACGTCTCCCTGGAACAAGCCTCCGAGCATTGGCAAACCTCGGTGGAGAACTCTAGTCATTGGCTTAATCTTTTAGCACTGTTTTTTTCTATCAAGATGACCGTCATCCTGGATCGTATTTCCAGGCATTGTTCAACTTGCAGCGTCGACATACATTGTTGTTTATATACTGGCTGAACCCAAACTGTTGGAGTCGACTTTAATTCCTTTTATACTGAGACGAAGACCAAAACACTGGTTAACCTTTATATTCAAATGTTGCCCTGGGTCAAAGGTCAGAATATTGGTTAAACGCTGGCACCCTGAGTCAGATTAAAACCTCAGGGTTAGCAGTCGACTGTCGCCTAGGCTTACATATTCAATCATTAATTTTCTTTCTTAGAAGACAAAATGTCTTCTTGACGAAATCTCTAAACGCTGATTATATTCACTTGCTTAATCCTCCAAACGTTTGGTTACCGTTCAGTGTCGACTGTCATCCCGGGACACACCTCACATGTTGGTTGATATTGATTGGTAACTGTCAACCCTGCACCCCAAATACTGTTATACTTATACCGTTTATTGCTATATTGTATAAAACCGACCAAACACATCAGTAATCTATTGTCATGATGGTATGAACTAACAAACTATAACTATAAGTTCGCCTGTTTCTAAACAGAATGTCACACGTTAGCCTCGTTTTCAGAACAACATTGGTTTTGGGATATATGTTTCTTCGTTTCGATTGAATGATTAAGTACATAAGGTTGTTTCTAACTTCTACTAACGACTCTCTCTCTCTCTCTCTCTCTCTCTCTCTCTCTCTCTCTCTCTCTCTCTCTCTCTCTCTCTCTCTCTCTCTCTCTCTCTCTCTCTCTCTCTCTCTCTCTCTCTCTCTCTCTCTCTCTCTCTCTCTCTCTCTCTCTCTCTCTCTCTCTCTCTCTCTCTCTCTCTCTCTCTCTCTCTCTCTCTCTCTCTCTCTCTCTCTCTCTCTCTCTCCACTCTAACACGAAGCACATTCTTAATATCCTGAATCCAAAGCTTGCATGCACGTCTTTGTACAGAAAAGAGCATCCAGGTTTGTTGTATCGATTATTAATATAGATGTTATTGTATAAGATCATTATATGTGTTCCTAGTTCATAATGTGTGTTTATGATTTTCCTACGCCTTTATAGTCGATGGAAAATTTCTAACTACAAAATATTGTCAAAACTCATACCGGGCTAGGCTTGTGTACAACAGATACATACCGCTATGAAAAATGGGGCCTTACCATCGAAACTCTGACGTGAACCACCGGGACTATCGGACTACAGTCGACCACAAATCGATTTCTATTCTTCAAAAAGAACAACAGCATTGAAGCCTAAATATAATTCAGTGCTATGTAATCTTGCTTCGAGTAAGATGTAAGGTGGCGTAAATTCAACCGGAAACTAAACGACAAAGGTGTCTATATCAGACTATTGCCGACGAGGCTATTGGTTTCTGTTGTCAACAAATGAGCTCCGGAAATGTTTCAACTCAACCTATCAACGTCCGTCATTAAAACACAAATAAATCTGCTCGCTTGCCAAATGCGGTTTCTCATATTTGACATACTGTATATATTACAGAATTGTATCTGCACCATCGCGTGTGTGTGTCAAACGCACATCTTTCTAGGCGATAAAGAAATGTAGTCATAAGATGCAAACTGACTAGCAATTTGAGAGTTGGTATTGGGTTGGTTAGGAATACGACTTTTAATGTGCACCGTGTAAACCCCCTCCCACCAACTACACTGTATCACCAACTCTGCTACTCACAAATAAGGAGCTCAACACCTGAATACAACGTTATGTAATCCACATGTGCAGTCACGTGAACTTTAATGGCCTCTTATTATCGTATGAACACCATTTACAGATTTAGGGGATGTGTTTTGTTATGATTATGACATGACCCTATTTTAACCAGTTTGGCTCTAATATAGCAAGCCTGTTGGGACTGAAACACTGCTGTGTATGACAGAGTGTTGAATCAAATCATCCCTAATATTTTTAACAAAATAAACTTAGAAAAATCATGCCATTGTTTTCTCCAAAAAACTTGCACTCGAATTGGCACCTTCATCCTTCTTCAAAGGAGTAGTTCTGACAATCATAGCACACAATCAATATGACAAGAGCACGCCGAGAGGCCTACAAGCACGACATGCACAAAAAAAGTTTCTTATTCTCGAACACTATCTCTACACGAACTGTCTGACACCCTAAGCCTCATCAACACATTTTATGTCATATCCCAGGAACTCAAACAACGAAAGCATACATCCGGGGATATTTGAACAAGCATTTTCCACGCAGCAATTGATAACACGGTACATTTTATTGATAAAATTGTACTGCATGCGTATCAATGCTTCGGCAAATACTCTTAAAACAAAGCTTATAAGCTTATGGCAGTATATCGTATAACTACATACTTTACAAGAGAAAATACTCACCAAACGAAACTGACGTGAGGAATGCTGTCGTAACGACTCTTATACTGTACATAGGAAAATAATGACAAAGTAAAGCGCAGAAAGGGAACAACTCTCTAAACGAAGTTTCCTTCAGGAAATATTCCAAGAGAAATTCAAATGGGGAATATGTTTACACAAAGCATGTATGAGAATAAACTCTCAAAGCTTAACATGCAAATGTATGAAAATAATCTCGAAACATTCGATTAGGTTTCAAAAGAAATCAAACAAGCTTTTGTTGATGAATTCTCCCGAACAAATAATTTGCATTTATTCAGAAATACTTTCAAAATAATATTTCCACCGGAATATATTTTCAAAACAATGCGTATTTAGCATAATACTCATAATTCTGTTAAAATGGCAAGTCTCAGAAAAATATTTACGAAAATGTTCATATAATAGCTGTCACACATAATATTCAGCAATTCATATCAAAATATTTTTCTACGTTCATTATGTAAATAGACCTACACGCGTTTATATAAATATGGTACCATTAATGCTGGATAAGACCAAATTATAACGTTATCCTCAAGATACAGAGCGTTTATACTCACATTGGAGATAGAAATGGCGTTTTTCCCGCCGTAGCTACGGTACCGTGTGTAGAGGGAGGTATCCTCTTAGCGAGGCATCACGTTTGATGCACTTCATTGGCCTGTAGCACGAAGCATGTCCTTTCTTCACTGATCACGACTAGGTGACATCCAGAATCCTAAGAACATATCTCGGCTTTTTTCATACACAGTCAACGTCCTAACGAAATGCATGGTGGTTAAAGTAATCCCTTACACGTTGGAAAGCCAGACTGAACTGTTACTAGACTATAGACAGTAAGATTGCGTATACCAAAAATCGGTCTGTGCCAGTCGATATGAATTCAAAATCGCTCAGCGTCCACTATAGTCCGTCTTGAAGTCTGAGAATATAACAGTTTTACATAGTCAGGACCATACGTAATACACCAAAACCAACACGCTAGCTAAGGAGAATTGCAGTGGGGGTTTCCTTACATCAGAGCAAGTTGAGTCGTCTCAGCGAGAACTGCGACTACAGGTTTGTATATAACAGTCTGTTACTGGGTAAGACGTTCAAACTCTGCTGTCAAAATGTCACCTTCAATGAAATAACGCATTCTGAAAATTTCTTTTAATTTTGCGTGTGTGTTCTTTTACCACTCTCAATTGTGATAAGCCATATTGGTTTTTTTGATGTATATAACGCTTTATATCATTGGTTCGCATTGTAAGGTAAATACACGTTGTGTATGTGCCGGATTCCTATTCTCCCATTGTTTTGTGGTTACTCGTACAGCCGAAACATAACCTAGTATGACAGGGGAAAACATGGAGATCAGGTTGAATACATACAATGCAAAACGAAGGCTATTTATCAGAGAATGGGGGTAATGGGAGAGCTAGTCTTTGAGTATGATTCGGTTCACACGTTCCAGCAGATTGGAAGGCAGAGCGCATTGCACGACAACTATTCTACATAGCTGGGCTATTGTCTGCTGCGAGTTATGCCTATGACGTCGGCTTGTTTTTTGGATACTAGTTTGTTTAGATGGAATAATTAAGACAGTTACCCAACAATACAGGGCACTATGCACGAGTCTGACATGTTTAATGTAACATTATCTTTCTTTTGAGAAATAACAACCTCCAAAGATATCATGCACATGGATAAATATCCCCTAGGGAAGCTTCGTCTGTATATTAACGTCAGGTATAATCGAATGAGTTCAAGCTTCTCATTTTTAATTGTCTAAAACTACTTATTTGCACTTTAATATACGAGATTGGTTGTTTGACATTTAACAGGAGAAAAAAAAGCGATCAAGAGAAAGAGTATCCATTTGGTCTGTTAGCGACGTGATGGTAGGTATTCACACCGACTTTGATACGTAGGTGATTTGAACGTTAATACTTAAAACGAGTGGGAGGATTTTAAAACAAAATGTAGACAGAAACATACTATAATACATTATCACATAATGTACTGTGTTATCCAGTGAATATGCGTATTAACCCATGCAATATGACTTTCAGCCCTGTGATTGGTTGTAAGTTTCAATTGTTTTAATTGTGACGTCACGCCTCAGACAAGTTCATGACGTCACAAACTTCTGCACTGGAGTCAAAATGGCGGCTTTATACATTTCAAGGTTGCATAAAAACTGTCGTTTTACACAAATAAATGCCACAAATCTTGATTATGTGATAAAAAAAGGTCTTACACTCGTTTTCATTTGAAAAATTCATGGACTCGTTTCATAAATCTCACATGAATTGGAAACTCATGTAAGGTCTTATATGTTCTTCTGAAAACATAACAGATATACATGTATTTCTTTATCGAAACTTTTTATTAGATTTTGCAAATTCATTGTTAATTTTTTACTCAAATGAACTAAATAGGAATCGTTTTAACGCTACCACAAATGCAGCTATTTACTTGTCATAATCATCATAAAAAGTTATTGTATTGTATGTTTTCGTGAATATTATGACATAGCTGACATTATCCAACCGTGACACATTGACCAAACATCTACTACAAATTGACGAAGCCATAAATATAGCAACAAAGAAATACTGATGTGACCACTTGGATAAAACGACGATACCATTAGAAAGGCAACCACTAGAGACACGATGACGTCAACACAACAGACGCACTTGAGTTTCCACTACAGACACACTGACGAAACCACTAGAGACACACCGCGATTACCACTGGGAAACACTATCGTATGCACAACACACTGACGTTCATATAGTAACCACTACAGTAAAACATGCTGACGCCATCACCGGACACTAATAGACATCACCACCACACTCAAACGGGCGTCATCACTAGACACAACCTGACGTAATCAATAGCCAAATACCAATGTAACCGCTATATACAGACGGACGTTACCACTAGGTACAAATGGACGTTACCACTAGACACACTTACGTAACCACTACACATAAACTGGCGTTCCCATTAGAGACACACTGAGATAACCACTAAAGACTGACGTAACCACTGGGGACACACTAACGTAACCACTGGGGACACACTGACGTATCCACTAAAGACTGACGTTACCACTGGGAACACAATGACGTAACCACTGGGGACACACTGACGTAACCACTAGGGACACACTGACGTATGCACAAAAGATACACTGATATAACCACTAAAGACTTATGTTAACACTGGGGACACACTGACGTATCCACTGGGGACACACTGACGTAACCACTAGGGACACACTGACGTATGCACTAAAGATACACTGATATAACCACTAAAGACTTATGTTAACACTGGGGACACACTGACGTATCCACTAAAGACACACTGACGTATCCACTGGGAGCGCACTGACGTATCCACTAAAGACACACTGACGTATCCACTAAAGATACACTGACATAACCACTAAAGACTGGCGTTACCACTGGGGACACACTGACGTAACCACTGGGAACACACTGACGTAACCACTAGAGACACACTGACGTATCCACTGGGAGCACACTGACGTATCCACTAAAGACACACTGACGTAAACATTAGATACAGATGAACGTCACGACTAGAAACACTCATGTAACCACTACTCATTAACTCATGTAAACACTAGAGACTAGCGTTACCACTAGAGACTGACGTTACCACTAGAGACACACTAACGTTACCACTACACATAAACTAACGTTTCGTATAGAGACACACTGACGTTATCACTAGAGACACACTATCGTAACCACTACACACAAACTAAAGTTTCGTATAGAGACACACTGACGTTACCACTAGAGACTGACGTTATTACTAGAGACAAACAGACGTTATCACTAGAGATACACTAACGTAACCACTACACATAAACTAACGTTTCGTATAGAGACACACTGACGTTATCACTAGAGACACACTAACGGTATCACTAGAGATACACTATCGTAACCACTACACATAGACTAACGTTTCGTATAGAGACACACTGACGTTGTCACTAAAGACACACTAACGTTATCACTAGAGATACACTATCGTAACCACTACACATAAACTAACGTTTCGTATAGAGACACATTGACGTTATCACTAGAGACACACTAACGTTATCACTAGAGACACACTAACGTTATCACTAGAGACACACTGACGTTATCACTAGAGACTGACGTTATCACTAGAGACACACTGACGTTATCACTAGAGATACACTAACGTAACCACTACACATACACTAACGTTTCGTAAAGAGACACACTGACGTTATCACTAGAGACAAACTGACGTTATCACTAGAGACACACTAACGGTATCACTAGAGATACACTATCGTAACCACTACACATAAACTAACGTTTCGTATAGAGACACACTGACGTTACCACTAGAGACTGACGTTATTACTAGAGACTGACGTTATTACTAGAGATACACTAACGTAACCACTGCACATAAACTAATGTTTCGTATAGAAACACACTGACGTTATCACTAAAGACACACTAACGTTATCACTAGAGATACACTAACGTTACCACTAGAGACACACTAACGTTATCACTAGAGACAAACTGACGTTATCACTAGGGATACACTTACGTTACCACTAGGGACACACTAACGTAACCACTACACATAAACTAACGTTTCGTATAGAGACACACCGACGTTACCACTAGGGACACACTGACGTGTAACCACTACACATAAAGTAACGTTTCGAATAGAGACACACTGACGTTATCACTAGATACACACTAACGTTATCACTAGAGATACACTAACGTAACCACTACACATAAACTAACGTTTCGTATAGAAACACACCGACGTTATCACTAGAGACACACTAACGGTATCACTAGAGATACACTTTCGTAACCACTACACATAGACTAACGTTTCGTATAGAGAAACACTGACGTTATCACTAGATACACACTAACGTTATCACTAGAGACAAACTGACGTGTAACCACTACACATACACTAACGCTTCGTAAAGAGACACATTGACGTCACCGCTAGAGACAAACTGACGTTATCACTAGATACAAACTGACGTTATCACTAGGGACACACTAACGTAACCAATACACATAAACTAACGTTCCGTATAGAGACACACTGACATTATCACTAGAGATACACTTTCGTAACCACTACACATAGACTAACGTTTCGTATAGAGACACACCGACGTAGTCACTAGAGATAAACTAACGTAACCTCTACACATACTCTAACGCTTCGTATAGAGACACATTGACGTTACCACTAGAGACTGACGCTACCACACTAACGTAACCACTACGCATAAACTAACGTTTCGTATAGAAACACACCGACGTTATCACTAGGGATACACTTACGTTACCACTAGGGACACACTGACGTGTAACCACTGGGGACACACTGATGTATCCACTAAAGCCACACTGACGTATCCACTAAAGACACACTGCCGTACCCACTAAAGATACAATGATATAACCACTAAAGACTAATGTCACCACTGGGGACACACTGATGTATCCACTAAAGCCACACTGACGTATCCACTAAAGATACACTGATATAACCACTAACGACTAATGATACCACTGGGGACACACTGATGTATCCACTAAAGACACACTGACGTATGCACTAAAGATACACTGATGTAACCACTAAAGACTAATGTAACCACTGGGGACACACTGATGTATCCACTAAAGACACACTGACTTAACCACTAGGAACACACTGACGTATCCACTAAAAATACACTGATATAACCACTAAAGACTAATGTAACCACTGGGGACACATTGACGTAACCACTAGGGACACACTGACGCATGCACTAAAGATACACTGATATAACCACTAAAGACTGGCGTTACCACTGGGGACACACTGATGTATCCACTAAAGACACACTGACGAAAACATTAGATACAGATGAACGTCACGACTAGAAAAACTCTTGT